TAAATTTCATAAATTCATAATAGTTTATTCAAATTGTTCCAGTCTGGGAGATCCTTGGCGAGCTTTCTTGCTTTTGCAGAAAAATTCGATTGGTGAAAGGAGATTGGGAGTTAAGGTGTAGAAGGATGAGAATGTGGATGGAAGAAGTGAACGAGGAGAAGGAAGGAGAGAAGGAGGGTGAATTCTGAGGGTGAAAAAGAGGAGTATGAGAAACGTTATGGAAGGGAAATAATAAGTGCGTCATCAACAGGCGGGAGTAAAAAAAATTCAACTCAAAGTACCTCTGCCTGGGTAGTTCTCCTTTCAGGACACGCTCTTCCCCTCACATTCCACTCACATTCCCACTGGCAGACTATCATGTCCACAACCCCACTTCATATCTCACTAGAAGGAATTTCCTTTTACCTTCATGCTCCCTGCCTTCCTCACTCTTCCACCCAACAAACCCTCAAAGCCTCGCCTTTCGAATTCTAATCTCTTTTCTCCATTCACCTACACCATCTGACACCAACTTAACTGTCTACTTTCCGTCCATGTAAACCAAAACGGTATTGAAGTTGTTCTGATGAGCCAAAATCAATGATCTCGAACCAAGTCCCTTGTGCTGATTATCTTGAGCCACAAATTATGCATTTCAGCGGTAGCTATGCCAAATTATGGCCCAATCTCGCAGATGTGCCAAAGCACTTTCTGCAACCAAATAGCAGACCATCTGCATGAATCGTCACTATTTGCAAGAAAGTCATCCCATATCACTTCAGACATCATAATATTCATTACTCTAACATTTCTTGTCTTCATAATACCTGAGATATTAAGTAACAACTGGTAAGGTCACGTTTTACTTGTGACACCCTTTCAAGAGATTAAAGGATCGTGATATTATTAGAGGATTTTTTTCCTTGGTAGAAATATTTAAGCAGAAATTCAGTGGTGCAATTCTGGGGACCACTTCTCGTGCCTATGGAATCTTGAGGTGACGATCACATAGATCATTCAGCCGGATAGGCCAACAGAATCGATGAAAAAGCGCGCCAAAGAGCTATTGATAACCTTTTTAAGTCGTACCATAGGTACAAAGTCCAAATGGTGCAATATCTTCTCGTATCCTTTTTTGAACCAACATTTTCTGTATCATAATTGTGCACTCTGCTCTGGTTAGCCTGTTTTTTCTGACAGACTAAAATGATATGCTTTCTTAATTGTTCCCGTTCTCTTAGATTTTTCATAGTTTTTATAAAACTTGAAGATTTTCCTTAATCATAAATAAACCTTAGGGGAAACAATTTTCGCGATGTTTCAACTGCTAGACAAAATGGCCTTACATCATGAGATTGTTGCATAATAACCTGTTT